TATCTCAAGTGTCAGGCATTTTGATACTTATCATTAGCCCTTTAGTTAATCCCGGGCTTGACAGAGGGTATGAACATCAAAGTGAGGAGGTGTCGAAAGTGTCGGCAGGGGAGGGGTGGCGGAATGAAGAATGATTCACAGATATTCAAGAGACAGACACAAATGTAGAGAGAAAAAGATAAGGTAAGTACTGTAGAAGTGGTCGAATATGACATACAGTGGGGTAATGTTAGTCTAAAGTGGGAAGTCAACTGCCGTTTAATAGACCTTTTTGTCGTAGGATTATACGTTGCCCAGGGTGAACCACGAGGAGGTAAGTCTATCACACACCCACAAACCATTCCGTTAACATAGTGTGTGTTTCAATAAAATCCATGGTCTAGGCATTAAATTAGGTCTATTCTGAAGAATGACTGAAAGAGCAATGCTTTCTTTTTCTTTCAGCTGATCCGATTGAAAAGAAGCATGAGGCAAATATTTATGTTAAAGAAGGTAAATTCATCCGAAAGAGTTATTGAGAGAATAAATGTGTTGCCTATTGATCCCATTTCTATTAATGAAATTCTAAAGCAGTCACTGTGCAAAATGAAGTTTCTTACCCGAGTAAGGGATATGAAAATTGTTGACTAATGCAATAATGTATTCAAATTTATATTTAATTTCTGCTGATTTTGCTAATGTTGAATTGAGTGTATTTATTGTTTAAACAGCATATGACCAACCTCAGCCCCACACAGCGATGGGTAAGTTAAAATTTCCAAGCTGGAATATTTTTTAATTTCATTTCTTCTACATTTCAAAGCTACTTTGTCACCATTTTATTTACCAAAACTTGGAAGGTGAGTGTTAGTGAATAGTGCACTGATTTAGATTCTATTCACAACTCAACAGAGAACCTAAGGTGTATTATTGTTGGGGTTTGCTTTAAAACAAATATCTTTTAAATCACGAGTGAAAAAAGTAGAAATTTCATAGCTTGTTTGAATTCGCTTAATTTCATCTGTGATTTGAGTGCATATTTTGAAATTTTAGAATTAAGTGAACCTGATTTGACTACAGTATGGACCCCTGTGTACTATGGCGATTATGAAGATTTGGAGGAAAGCTGGAACAGCTCACGTGCACGATTTGTAGTATTTTCAAATAGAAATGGTGGTCTAACACTCAAAGATACTCGGACTAGTTGTATTTACCAAATAACGAATCATTATCGTGTTACAATTGATGGTCGAACATATAGTGGACGTCCACTCTTTAATCTGATAAAGAGCATATATGAAGTGAGAGTCACCTGTGTTACATGAATTGTATTGGTTGCGTTGAAATGCTGTTAACACTTGGTTTCGTTTCTCCTTCCCTATAGGACTATGGTGGATTCGATTTTGCATCCTTCACTCAAGCGCCTTCTCTGATCTATATTGAGGATTTGAAACATTTCGCAGCAGACAAAATACTTCAACCACTTACTTTATCGTCAAGTAAAAATTGTAAGGGTAAATAAGCACAAGTTTTAAATGAAATGAAATGGTAACCATTGACAAAGACTCGGTATAGTTCAATGTTCATCGAGTCTATTTATTTATTATTTCACAAATCTTAAATTTACCTAACTTTGCAGTCTCAAATGCTTCACCCAGCGGTCCTACCCAAAGATACACCAATGTTAACATTAGTAATTAATTGCTGATTATTAATTATTGATTCGTAATTAAGGGGCTCATAAATCGTTTTTATTTGTAGCAGCCAAACCTAGTAAGTAAATGAATTTCTTCATAAATAATTGAAAAACTATCAAACAATTAATATAAATTTGAGAAATAAGTACAGTAATCAATTGATTCGTTACTTCTCAATTCTTAAAGGAACTTGGCAGTCTCGTTCAATTCCTATATTCATCATACGCAAAAGAGCTGCTCAATACCATAATTGGGAACACTACTAATTTGAAAATGAGCTCTTAATTGGAAATACAAAGACAGCATTACGTCATAAGTTCCTTTCTGGTTTGTTTTCATGGCTGGTGCACCAGCAGCTTTTGAAGTCACTTTCACACAAACCGCCTTTTTATTATAAGCAAGTAACCCGGCGTTTACGAGATGTCTGCTCATCGGCGTCCACCCGATGGTACGCTGGTCAACCCTACGCATTACATTTGGCCCTATATTAACTCTTATTAAACGTTGACAACGCTTCTAGGAAGTGGTAGGTCTGATGCCGGTTTTGTTATTGTGATCAACGGAAGGAATTTAAAATATGAGTTTTTTGATCGGCACGAAATCTCATAGAATGTAGTTCTATTTCACCTCCGTAAATTATCTAACTGTTTTACTGTTCAGTTTTACTTTGAACCAAGTTTCTCTTCCAATAGTAAAAGAATAAAATGAAATTTCATGACTTGTTTGAAGTTGGAACTGTGATTTTTTGCTAATTTCTTGTAATTTTAGAATTAAGTGAACCTGATTTGACTACAGTATGGACCCCTGTGTACTATGGCGATTATGAAGATTTGAAGGAAAACTGGAATGGTTCAAGTGCAAGATTTGTAGTATTTTCAAATAGAAATGGTGGTCTAACACTCAGCGATACTCGCACTAGCTGTTTCTATCTAATAATGGATCATTATCGTGTTACAATTGATGGTCGAACATATAGTGGACGTCCACTCTTTAATCTGATAAAGAGCATATATGAAGTGAGAGTCACCTGTGTTACATGAATTGTATTGGTTGCGTTGAAATCCTGTTAACACTTGGTTTCGTTTCTCCTTCCCTATAGGACTATGGTGGATTCGATTTTGCATCCTTCACTCAAGCGCCTTCTCTGATCTATATTGAGGATTTGAAACATTTCGCAGCAGACAAAATGCTTCAACCACTTACTTTATCGCCAAGTAGAACAAAGACGATACAGAAGGCAGATTTTGGCTATGTCATGAGAGCGATTCATCCTAAAACCGTAAGTTCGTAACTGGTGGATTAGAACTGCAAAATTAACTTGACACACGAAAAGAACTGAAGAAACTGCCTCTTCAAAGCTAGCATACAATGATTGAAATACGCGTGACTTTTCATGAAATAATCAAATCCTACATTAGAGAATTCAGGGAGCATCTACCAAATTTCCTTCTAATTTGGTGTGGACAACCGCACCGATTGAATCTGGAAAAAGCATAGATGCAAAGCACAAAGTGTTCCACATAGGAATGTCTCATAGGAGCCTTCATTGAGCTCAATTCAGTAGCGTTTAGCATAGACTCTTGTAGACTTTGGAAGGGTGAGCTTAATTCTGTCTATTTTCTCTTGGGGAATGAGATAGGCTGAAAGGTGCTGTAGCTGGTGTAGCAAATACCATTATAAAAAAAGTTTTGAAATGAAAGGCCAAAAAGCAGTATTGCCCATTGAAGCTATGCATGGAATATCTCGAACTTCCTGAACTTGATTCGTCTCTCCATTAATATTAACAACAATTGCTACCACTCCCATTTTGAGGTCATCTCTTCATGCCATTCACTGCATTGTAACATAGATGTATCCATTTTTTGAATACCTGGAATTTACTTTATCATTACGTCGAACAAGTGGGAACCTACGCGCTCATGCTTTCAATTGACCAATTGAAGGATAGGTTTGCATTGATGGCAACACACAAGAACCGAATAGCGTGTTTAAATTATAACACGTGCTCTGTC